CAGTGCTGTTCGTGACCCGAATGGATCGTGAACAGAAGCGTTCGTGACCCGAGGTACCACTGTACAAGAGATTGGGGAAGCCAGAAGGTTCATGATGCACGTGATCATCCTATCATTTCTGATCTCCCACTGCTTGAGCCATACATACACGGCCCCTCTTTGCTTCTCTTCCCACTAGTCAGATGTTCATGCTGAAGCTACACTAAGACCAGCAATGTTCATTAATTTGTGGAATGCATTTATTTGCAATTAGCAACAGTATTAAGCCAATTACTTTGCTAAGGGTTTCACTGGTTGTTCTTATTCATTTTTAGTTAAGTAGTTCTAAGAGAAGTGAAACAAATGGACCAGAATGGAGAGATAGTTGAATCCTGACACCTCTCATGCATAATTGGTTATTTGTATATAATACTGCATTCTCGAGGTGAAACACAGCTTTTTAGGCAGACCAAGGTAAATGTCTAACAGCTGTGCAAATATAAAGAAATTGGTTTCATTTAACACGTGGAACAAATCTATTTGGCAATGGCGCTTACAGACAAAATTAGTCAGCAAGTGCAGTCTGCTGGGTTTTGTGAAGGTGTTGACAACATGATAGTCTGTGTGTGCCAAATAAGTGTGGTTGAAAGGTAAAATCGTACAGATTAAGCACAAAAGCAAGCGACTTGTCTGTTTGGTTTTATGAAATGACAGACACTTCCTTCTTCCAGAGGCAGAAAAAACGCATCTCAGAAACAAATGGTCTATAAACTGAGGACAACCTATCCCATCAGAAAGATTGGCAATGCAGGAATCCCTTTCCCACTATCAAACAATGCACGCTTTTCCCAACAACAACCTGTTCAAAAGCAAGTAACAGAGTAGAAGAAATGTGAGGCTGGAACAAAAGGCCCATCTCCCAACTGCTGTGGTCTACAGGTAGAAGAATTTAAGCTAAATAATTCACAAGTGCTTTGCAACTGTTATCTCCATTGCCCATTAGCTGGACAAACGTTAGATCTAGAAAAAACAGTATTGGGATAGTTTAGTGTATCCAAATATTCTCTCATTATGAATTATTGTGCATTCAACAAGTTACAATCTGATCAAGATACAATCTGGACAAAGGGCATTCAGCAAATCTGATTAGTTTTGGGAGTATAAAATCAATTCTCAGTAGTAATTAGAGTTCTTCTACTCTACTGTTAATCAGGTTGAACACTGGGCTGAAAGGGGCATCTAATATCATGTTGCTGATGCGCGTATATTGCCATGTCCCTGAAAATGAGCACTGTTGCTCAAAAACTGTACTCTTACTATCTTCCATCTCCCTGGCAAACTGTTTGGGATAACCAGCTACGATAGTCCTAAACTCCCATAATTTCCAGCTAGCATGGCCAGGAAAATCCCAGTTCATTTGTACAGCATCAGGATGGGGAAGGTTGGACTAAAACAAATGTTGTGCAATAACATTTTATTCGTCTTCTTGCAACAGCCTGATTGAGATGAATAGTCTTCACTTCTGCTCTCTTTTGCAAAGGAACATTAAGCAATCAGTTTGAACAGCTGGCACTTTGATTTGGCAAACTAATAAACTGACCTCATGTATCCAGATTTATGTGATTTAAATCCAATGCTGCGTGCACAGAGTAATTTGATGCTGTGCTGCGTCTGTATTCAGATGGCATTTACGGGATGTTTGCATCTCTACTGATGATGAAGGCAGCTGTCAAAGACATGAATCACTATGTTCAACAGCATTTCAAGCTAGACTGTTTGAGCCATCAAGATTTTCTGTATGGGGTTCCTAATTAGAGACTCAGCTGCTTAGTATGCATTCCTAATTGGAGAAGGTCCCAGGTGAATGTTTAGTACATATATTGGTCTCTTAATTGTCATGCTTTGAACTCTCTCTTCCTTGGTGCATTTGCTATTTTTCTTTTTCTTTTCTTTTTTTTTAAAACCAGCACTGGCTTTAATAGTGATCATCATTTTGATTTAAAAATGGGAAAGTTCTTGGATCATTTTTGCACAAACCCAAAGATTCTTTTAAACACACGGTGACGACTCAAGAGGTTTTGATTAAATGGACCATTTGTTGAATGTTTTGGTCCCTTTGAGGGTAAATTGAGCACCTAGATCATAGTTGCTGTTTTTCCTGTTTTAGCTTCAACTCTGATCAGACAAATCAATCATTTTGCTGACCCAGCAGGCAAAGAGCAAAGAGCATAGGGTAGAGTATAATAGCTAGGCAATTGCAAATTTGTTGTCTAAGAGTTGTGCAAAATGCTAAGAAGCTGAAATTTTCCTACCTTGAAAATTATTGGTCGGATGTTGCATTAAAAATATTCTAAACTTATCAGAAGCGGTTTGACCTCTACATGGGTGATTCAGATTACAAATCGAAACTCAGAAGGGCTTGTTTTGAGGTTGAACAATTTTCAATGAAGTTGGAACTGTCTGATCTGATATTGGCCCACTGAACTCAGAAGGGCTGTTCTGACCTTGGAATTGTCTGTCCTGCAGCTGGAACAAGGTATTTTGATCCTTGAAACTTTTGCTGTAATGCTAACATTTTCTGGACTTTAAATGTTCACCTGGGAGCTAGAAGGTGGCACTTAAGACCACTACCTATCCTATACAGTACTGGAAACCTGAACCTTCTATGCTACTCAGGTGAATCTACCAACTTCATCTGAGTGCAGTTCAACTTCTTGAATAATTCATTGCTACAACAAAATAGCTTGCAAGAAGAAAACAGGACAATGGAAAAATAATGTACAGGTACTCTTCATTTAACAACCATTTGTTCAGTGACCGTTCAAAATTATAACACTGCTGAATGATAGTTACAACCGGTCCTCAAAGTTATGGCTGTTGTAGTGCCCCCAGTCACATGATCAAAATTTGGACACTTGGCAACTGGCCTGCATTTATGACCACAGTGTGAGCTTCAAATCCCCCCACCTGCCTACCCCCCCATTTCTGCCCTTTTGGCCACCCTGCACTCCACCACCTGTCCCTGCCACCCCCACTGCCTTTCACTGTCTTCTTCCTCATGCTGTTGGCCTGGGATCCAGGCAAAGGGCCAGGGCACAGCCCCAGGACATGCGCAGCAAGCATGGCAGGGCAGCGGAGCCTCATCTGCTGAAGGGCGCTTGTTGGACCCAGCTGGGGAGGAGGCAGCAGAATAGAGCTGGTGGAGGAGGCAGGGCAGCAGTGTCAGTGGCTCCCTGAGCAAAGGTGGTGGCTGTCAGCACTGTGCAAGGCCTCGTGAAGCCTTGCACAGCGCCGACAGCTATGAGCAACAGCCACTACCTTCGTTCGCACAGCCACCTTTGCTCACACAACCACCTTCGCCTGGGGAACTGCAGCCTGCCCGCACCACTGCCCTGCCTCCTCTGCCCAATGCTTCTCTTCAGGAGAAGCATGAGGTCCTCGCCTAACAACCACAACCAGGCCTACTGGAACTTCTGTCACTAAGTATTGCGGTCACGTGATGTTTTGCCTAAGAACCACTTTACTTAGTGACAGAAATTCCAGTCCCAATTAGGGTTGTTAAGTGAGGACTACCTGTATAATTGTTTGCAAACAGTGAAAGAGTATTAACAATTTGACCATTAGGTACATGAACTGTTTTGTCCCCTTTGGCATGGTGGGACTCTCAAGTTCAACTTTCAGTGACTGAAAAGATACCTCATGATAAGTCCAATTATCATTCTTGGTCACCAAAGATGGAGCTGACAGGAAAGGGATGTTATAGCACTATTTCCAGGAAGGCTCAGTAAAGACTAAAACATCCTCCGTAGCACTGTGTCTTCAAGGACCACAGCTGCAGAGTCAAGCTTATCTATCTTACATCTTCAACAAACACAGATGTTAGAAATGTCTGTTAGCAGAACTCCTGCTGTTAAGAGCAGTTGATAGAGTCACTCCCTCCCCCCAGCAGAGTAAACTATGATGCAGTAAGGGAGATGTTTCTTACTGGCTGAATATGCAAAATCATTGAATTCCCTGACCCATCTCCTGATAATAGAACAACACATTTTGCTTTCCCTGGTTACCTGTTTTGTAGAAGACAAATAGATTATTAGCCATCCAATATGTTTGCAAGCTATATTCTTGGCACTCTGCTAAATTATCTTGTGCCATGTGGGTTTCAGAGGGGAGGTCTGGGGAAAAACTGGTGAACACAATCTCATGCTTGGTGGAATTTGGAATTGACCTTGGACATAGAACAAGGATCTGAACTTAGTACCTACTTCA